CTTTGTGTTTGTCATTTTGGTTAATTACTTACTTAGAAGATGGCAGTTCCGGTCAAAAGGCTATTTTATATTATTTTTGATAGTGAGAAACTAAAAAACATGTCTAATAACATCAAAGGTCTTTTGTGAAATATCAAGTAATAAACTAGTATATAAATTAGGCTCTTAGTGATATTCTATAGAAAAAAGATACATATGAAATTAAAAAAAAAAAAACCTTGGATGAAATGGATATTCTAAAATGTTGACAGTAATTGTCTCCAGATACGGGATTATGGTTGATTTTTTCTTTGCTTTTATTTACATTTTTTTTGCAGTTGACATTATGTTTATAATTAGTCAAAAATAATATGAGAAAATATTTTTTGAACCTAAAATATATCAGATATGACTTTCAGAACTGAATAAACAGTGTAGGGATACCTGTTGGGACCCCTGATGGGATAACTAACATGAATTTGTTTTTGTTTTAAAGCCGTCTCTGTCGATATTAATAACTTACTAATATAAGTATCTGTACTCAGTAAGAGCTATATGCCAGGCATTCAGTAATGCTCCAGGCTTGGGAATATGAAGATGATTGCTGAAAGGAAGGAGGAAACCTGCTATCATTTCTTCCAGGAAGTTTTCTGTGCCTGGTTTACGTTCCCTTCTATCATTGAATTTACTATGATGAACTGAAATGATTAATTAATTTGTTTCACTAAATAGATTATGAGTTACTTTAGAATGAGGCCACATTTTTCATTTGGTATCTTAGTAGCTAGTGGTTTGTTGAATTAGCTCTGCTTGGGATGGCAGAAGTGATGACGTCTGAGGAAGATTTTGAAGAATCAGTGCCTAAGATAAACCATTAGTTTACTCTTTTTTTTTTTTTTTAAATAGAGGTTTTTGCCTTAGGATGTGTGCACTTGCCAGATAGAGAGAGAGAGACAGACAGAGAGAGTGAAAGTGAGAAATCACCCTCCAGAGGGGACAGCCACACCACAATCTCTTCTCCTCCATTCTCCTCCCGGGATCTTGGACACACATGCATATGCGCTCGGTGTGATGTTCAAGCCACCAGATCTGAGGCTTGAACCACAGTTGGTCATGTAGGAGTCCAGTAATGTAACCACTATGCCATCAACTGGCATCAGTTTAGTTTACTCTTCATGGAATTCTTCATTCCCTTATGAGAGATAGAGAAGGAGTACTATCATTATTAAGATTAAATTAACTTTAATTGATAATATTTATTACTTTGTCTTTTTCAAATGAATTTTGGTGTGACCTCAGTTTTAGAGCATAGTTCTGAGTTGGTCAGTAAAGTGAATTTAGCTTTCTGTTTATCTTTTCTTTTTTTTTTTAGATCTGTGAGACTGTTTATTTTTTCCCATGAGAGAGACAGAGACAGCGAGACAGCATCTGCAGCAGGCTCTACATGCCACTATCTGCCCCCGCCCCCATTCTCAGTCAGCCCAGATCACCAGCAGACAGACATGTATATGCCTGATATGCTAAGGAAGGTTGTGAACCCCGGACCCTTCTCCTGTGGGTCCAGATGTGTTAACCAGTGTGCTGTCACCTGACCACTCTGTTTATCCCTTAATGGCAGAAATTTGGTCATTAAATTATCATAGATGAGAGGCAAGGGAGAATTTGAGTTCATAGGGATGATGTTGAGACATCACAGTGGATAATATTTTTAAAAGTACGTTAACAAATTGAATCAACTGTTAAGGTTTCTGAAAGTTGAAAGTGCAAGTAGTCAGACTGTTGTTGCCTCCATTTCCAATAGGCCAGCATGCAGACCATGAAGCTCTTTAGGAAGTATATAGTAAGAACAATTTAGTTCAGACACGTACTTCCCATTCCCAATTTACTCACAGATTACATACTCAGAGTTCAATGATAAGTTAATAAAATCATTTTAAAAAATATCACAGGATAAGTTTATAGCAATAGTGATACAGAATGGTGTTCCCAACTCAAGGGACATGTGGCAATGTCCAGAGGCATTTTTGGTTGTAACAACTTCGTGGTGGTAGGGAGTGCTACTGTCATCTAGTGGGTTGAGGCTGAAAATGCCGTTAAATGTCCTTCTGAGACAGTACCCTCCCTTCTCCCCCACCACATACCAAATAAATATCCAGCCCCAAATGTCAATAGTGTTGTTGAGAAATCCAGCCTAGACAATGGTCAGGTTCCCAGGCCAGTTAAAAACCTCTATTTAACCCATGAAAGTATTTATAACCCATAACTAAAGCTTAGTGCTAACAATACCATTTCATTTGTTCCTTAAAATTACTTTGTCTCCATATAAAATAGTTCTTCTGAAGTTTCAATTTGGGATACCAAGATTACTTTCCTTATTGGGGAACAGTTACTCCTATGATGTGGTAGAGATTCTACATCTTTCTTTCTTTTCTTTCTTATTGACAGAGGATGTATGTTCTGGCTAGAGAGAGAAGACGCCCTCAGGGCATGATCACACCGCAATCCCTTCTCCGTTTCTCTATCCTGTTGGGATTTGGGGCATGCACACACATGTGCTGGACATGTTTTTCAACCTGGGATTCGAACTGTGGTGGGCCCTTTGGGATCTGAATTCCCTTAACAGTTAGGCTGTTGGGCTGGTCCTAGATGCTAGATTTTGGTGCCTCTGCCTGGTTTTCTTAGCTTTCATATGTGTCATTCAGTCTTTTAAGAATCAATAGGGACCAGCTGATGGCATAATGGTTACGTTGCCAGACTCCCACATAGTTGACTGCAGTTCGAATTATGGACCCGGCAGCTTAAAATTCTTGCCAGGCACATGTGCATGGATACCCAAAATCCTTAGAAGAGAATGGAAGAGAAGAGACTGTGGTGTGGCCATGCCCCCAGGGAATGATTTCTCCCTTTCTGTTTCTGTCTGTTTTTGCCTCTCTGGTGAGTGCATATACCCTATAGAAATCTCTCTCTTAAAAAAAAAAAAAAAAACAACTATAAAGTAGGGATTGTTATTTCCATAGGCTTAAAAGAAGAATGCTTTTGAAACTTGAAAATGTTTAATTGATGTATCAAAACCATTATTGCTAGTTTATTCAATAACTTTTCATTTAAAAATAATAATATGAGTTTTCAGATTTTTTTCAGTGCCCTATAACTGTTGATTTACTTTTATTTTAATTATTAACAGGGTCAGGAGAAGGTCTGGGGAAAATAATCCAGAGATTTCCACAGAAGGATTGGGATGATACACCCTTTCCACAGGGAATTGAATTGGTGAGTTATAATGATACTTTTCTTTTTCTGTTATAGTCATATTTATGTTACATTCACTGTTAAATAATTTGGTGATTTGACTGCAGCATAGTGCTAGAAAGTTCTGTTTCCTCCTAGACTTCCAAGGATAATGACCTTTGAATGTATTGATTATGGAATACCTGTTTGCTTTTCTGTTTTTTTTTTTTAAACTTCTTTCTAATATTATTGATGAAGTTGGTGATCTTTATGTACTTAGAAGCAGGAAAATTCTACCTTAGTAGCTTTACTAATAGTGATACAGATTCAAATATTTATGATTTTTTTCTTCTGAAAATTTCCACATTATATTTTAGTGAAGGCAAAATAAACACACACACACACCTCCCACAAGGATTTAACAGTGACCACTCATGATTTGAGTTTGGTCTTGGAATCACAAATCTGAATTATTTTCTTTTAGCTACAGTCATCAGATTATCTTATAATTGGGCAGTTCAACTATCTTCTCTCTCTTTTTTTTTTGAAAGAATTATTTATTTAATTTTATTTATTCATTCATTTATTTCAATTTGACCAGAAAGAGACAGAGAGAAAGAGAGAGAGAGGGGAAGTGAGAAAGCAAGCCACCAGGTCCAGGACTTGAACCATGGTCAGCCATGTGGGAGTGTCCAGCACCTTAGCGACCACACCACCTGCTGGTCCCAACTATCCTCTCTTTTTAAGATTCTTTTTTTCATACGAGGTATAGAGAGAGAGAGAGAGAAAGGCAAGTACCCTCAACAGGGTCTTACACCATGATCCTCTCTGGTCTTCCCAGCCAGCCAAGATCAGAAGTGTGCATGCAAGAATGGCTTGTACAGGTTGACTTGTTAACCAAACCCCGATCTTCCATATGGCCTCCCATGTTACAGAATGGTGTGCTACTGCTTTGTCATCATGACCGGGCTTTTTTTTTTTTTTTCTTCAGTAAACCATTTTTAAGGAATTTAATGGTTGGATGTAATTCATGATGGCCAGGACATTTTATCTGTTGGCAGATCTATGGTGGTAAAATGAGTCACTGGAAAGATAATCACTAAAGTACTTTTGCAGTATGAGTAAAAGTTTGGTTTCCCAATCATACTGTAGTGTGTGTGTGTGTGTGTGTGTGTGTGTGTGTGTGTATTTACTTATTTATATTGTGCTTAGGTATATACACACATAAGCAACATTCTTCAAAGCAGTTCTTGTTGAGAGAACGTTTGCTGTAAGAGTGCAGGCTCTGGAGCAGGCTGCCTGGGTTAAAATCCTAGCAGCCTGGTATAACTTTTGACAAGTTACTTTACTTTGCCAGAGTCCTCACCTATTAAATGAGGATAATGGTAATACTAATCTTATAAGGTTGTTATGAAGATAAATAGAAAAATATATTCATAAAATGCTTGGAATAGTGTCTTCCATAAATTAAGCACTCAGTAAATAAAATAGCTATCTGCTTATTATTATTATTGTTGCTGTTATTGTTGTTGCTACTTGTTCAACATCTTTCAGCACTTACCCCAGAAGAATAGTTGTTTGTCTTATTGGCATGGATCAAAAATAAGTATTGGGAATAAAACCAATGTTGCAGATTGTAAATTTTCTCATCCTAGCTAATGAATCTTTTCACCTAGGATAAACTATGTATTACTAAGGGCTTAGTTTTCATGATTTATACCCCAGCCATGTAAAGAAGGCTGTGAGTTCTGTAGGCTCACAGAGAGGATAAATCTTTAATTTTGGCACTAAAAATGGGGAATGACTATGAGGATCCCCCAAAAATGGCTTTTTTGGAGAACCTCTTGCATTTCTTTCTCTTTTTCCCCACATGCCTGCCTGTTTTAGTAGTGGGCCTTACAGTGCATGTAGCAGGCCTTTGTACACTAACAGCTTTTAGACTTTGTTTCAGCATCCCTTTAAGCCGTGACTGAGAGGGGGAAATTGGTTCTGGGGATCTGTTTAGAGGGACATAGATGACATCAATTTGTCATTATGAATAGGAAACCATCTCCTTAAGTTCAAAGAAAAGCAGACATAGGGGGACAGAGGTATCATGGATTGGCATAGCTATTTAGCTAGAACTGCAAAGGGATGGTTTTTGTGTTTTAAAAGAAAGGGAGGGGTCAGCAGATGACATGGTGGTTAAGGCACTGGACTCCCACATGGCCGACCAGAATTGGAGTCCTGGACCTGGTGGCTTGAAACTCATGCCAGGGGCAAGTGTGTACATGCCCAAAATACCAAGAGGAGAATGGAGGAAGAGGGACTTGTGGTGTGGCCATCCCCTTGGGGGGGTGATTTCTCACTTGCTCTGTCTATGTTTCTCTGGCGAGTGCATGTGCCCTATACAAAAATCAAAAAGCGAATGGAGGGGCTGGTGGGTGGCATAGTGACTGAGGCGCTGGACTCCCACATGGCCAACTGCAATTTGAGTCCTGGACCTGGAGGCTTGCGCTCTCACTTTCTCTGTTTCTTTCTTTGGTGAGCACGGATTCCATATAACAAAATTTAACATAATAATAGTAATAATAATAGTAGTACACGAAATTAAATACTTCTTTTTAAAATTTCCAAATGAAAGATATATTCAGCCTTATGACTGTTAGAAAATAATTTTAGACATTTATTCACTAATAAATCCCCAATTTAATTTAGAAAATACTGAATTTATTTTTTCCATTCTAACATAAATTGCTTTCTTTTCTTCCATTGAGAAATGGTGAACTTTAATTTGGATGGATTTTAAAAATAAAAATATGAAAATAAGCTAAACCAAACATAATGACTACTTTTCCAATTCTAGGATATTTTTATCCTTTTTTGTGCTTTTTAGGCATACATGAAAACCACAGACAGCCATATAAATAAAGTTGCAGTTAATTTTAGTGACAGTATTTCAAAGAAAATCAAAGAATTGTTTTTTTCAGAGGCATTCTATGGCTAACAATTTATTTCTGATTATGGGAACAAATGTTTTTATTGGCTAACTCATGGATGTAAGCAAAATAGTATTGTTTTGACACTAGTTCTTTTCCAAGGTCCTCTGAGAAGTGAATTGTTTTTTATTATAATTCAAAAAATATTCTATAGTCTTCATTGGGAATTGCCTGTATAAGGTATTTGTAGAATTATAGAACTATCTAATCGTCTGAAAAGACTAAAGTACTATAATAAGGAACTTTTATGGCTTTAAAAAGAGGGAGAAGCACTCAGAATTTTTGCATTTGAAGTTTTAAATAAATTAATTCAATTATTTAAATTATATACTAATTATTTGGCTACTGGCCTTATGAATTTCGTCTTCTGCAATTATAAGTTAAAGGAAAGAAGAAGAAAAGCATTTTTATTCAGTATCCTGCAGTTGTAACATAGAAATAGTTTCAGTGCAGGATATTATTTGAGAACAGAGAAGGAAGTGTAAGGTTGCGTTAGTTTGGGACCAGCAGTTGGCATAATGGCTATGTCGCTGGACTCCCATGTAGTCAACCACAGTTCGAGTCCCAGACCCCGTGGCTTAAACTCACACTGGGCACATGTACGTGCATGCCCAAGATCCCGAGAGGAGAATGGAGGAGAAGGGATTGCGGTATGGCCATCTCCCCGGGGGTGATTTCTTGCTTTCTGTCTCTCTGTTTCTGTCTTTCTGGCGAGCGCACGTGCCCTACAGCAAAAACCTCTCAAAAAAAAAAAAAAAAAAAAAAAAAAGATTGTGTTAGTTTTTTAATCTGAGTAGATTGCAATAAATACAATAAATGAGAAAACAGTCATCCATCTGACCTCATTATAAACATTGGTCAGGGAACTGAGTGTAGAAAGGATGAAGAAAATTTTCTTCCCTCATAGTGGAAGGAAATTCATGGAAGCAGAATGAGAAATGTGAATGACAGGGTCAGGGCTCACGAAGATTTTAAAAGACTAAAGCTACAGCGCTTTAAGAAGGTGAAATGTAATAGGTGAAAACAAGTCTTTGCATGTGAATATAAAAAGACTGCTATGTAAGTAATGACTTAGAATAATGATAGGAAGGCAATATCCCACCCAGAGAGATTTGAGAAATATGAGAAGACGAAAAGCTTTGAAAGATAGCTATGAAAAATACAAAAGGAATCATCTAACGAGCTACTCTTGTGCAAGTGATAGGGTGCTGCTGTGTGAGCCTGGAACTCATCAGAGGCCTGGATTTGGTTCTTGGACCAACCTAAACAGCCCACTTGTGGTGGTACATGTCTATAATTCCAGCTAACTAGGAGTCTGGGACAGGATTACAGTGTGGTGAAACTCTGTCAAAAATACCTCTTATTCTATCCTTCTATCCCTCTCACTGCCTCTCTTCCCCTTATCTCTTGCTCTCAAAAAGAGAGAGAGAGAGAGAGAGAGATGCTTCAGAGTTTGGAATAAAGAATGTATGAAAAAACTCCTGATTTTGTATAGAGTTGATAGAACTGAGGTTGAAAATATAATAAAGCTATGGAGTACAAAGACATGGTTTTTGAAACAAACTTAAGGATCATGAAAAGGATTTTTTTTCTTCTTAAGTTTCTGAGGATAGTGGGAAAAAAAGCACTCCCAGTGGGGAATGATCATGCTGCTTTCCCTCCTCCTCCATTGTTCTGGGACTTGGGGTATGCAGCACATATGCTTAGCATAGTTTTAAACCAAGGACCAGGACTAGAACTGAGGTCAGCCATGTGGGATCTGACTCACTTAACCAGTAGGGTATGGGGCCAGTCTCCTACAGAAAGGATGCTTATTATTTTATTTATTTTATATTTTAGGTTTTTCTTGGAGGGTGTATGTGCTTGCCAGAGAAAGAGAGAGAGAGAGAGAGAGAGAGAGAGGACTGGGGGAGTGGCCACACCACAATCGCTTCTCTTCCAGTCTCCTCCTGAGATATTGAGAACTCACACACACAAACACCCTACATGCTTTTTGAGTCTCCCGGTCCAGGACTTGAACTGCAGTTGGCCATGTGGAAGTCCAGCACCTTAACCACTATACCC